ATGACGCCAATCTTGTTGGCCGCCGAGCTAAAGCCGCGGGCCATCGTTGTCGGCTTGCGCAAGGTCGTCGTCGTCGTGCGGAGCATGGTGGAGGACGAGGCAAATCCGCAAGTGGCGTCCCAGGTTTTCTGGTTGTCGGGGCGGGTTAGGGTGTTCGCGTGACAGGGTTGTAAGGTGCTGAGGGGTATTTGTGGGGTCTACACCGGGAACCGGTGGCGATGCTGCAAGGCTCCAAGTGCATGTCGACCCATTCGCGTTGTCTCTGGCGGTCCAAGGGCTATTATCCGGATGCCCGGACCGTCCGTGCCGGGACGAAATGGCGTGGCGACCGGCCAGCACGAGCGGGCGAGTTGCAGAACCAGGCCTCTCGACAAACGTGGATATTCAGCCCCTGATCCACGCTGGTCCACGATTAAGCGAAAATGGCTTCCACGTTTTAATAAACTCGATTAAAGTATGCAGAGTGCTCGGCAGGTTCAATTTCACGCTCGTTGGTGTTTTTATTACTTTTCATTTGGCACCCAACACAGCGAATGGAGCGGTGACAGGTCGGCTGCCTCGTACCAGGTCGGCGCGCGTGCTCTGGTACACGTAGCACGTCCACCGTATGGTCCAGCGCCTCGTGTATCGGGCGCTACTAAGCGTCGCAATCCTCCTCGTCGCCATCGTCATCGCCGCCGTTCTGGCGCTACAACGACCTCGCTGTGGCGCGACTCGAAGCTGTTGTCGCCGCCTGGGACTGTCGATCACGCGGCCGCGCCCTTTTTAAGGTACATCCTGCACTCGGTACCTCGCAGCCTAGTCGGCGCCAGCAGACTTTATCGTGCCAGAGCTTACGCTACCGCGCATGTCGGTGGTGGAGCTCAAGGGGCGATCGTATCTCCAGTGGTTCCATCGACTGACTGGATGAATGATGAAAAGGAGTACGCTTGGGCTAGAGGCCTCGGGACGCTATGGGCGCTCCTCGCTGCCTGTGCAGTCGGCCTCACGTGAAGCGTCGGCGTTCATGTTCATGATTCAAATATTGCACAAGTCTGTCTTCCATGTGCCTCATACTGTATATTGTTGGCTTGTGGTACGAGTATGTGTGTGTGGCTCGCCCTGCGATGCTTAGCCGAGCTTGGCCTG